TGGATACATCAGTTGTTGTGTGGATAAAACCAGAAAGGTTGTACATTATATGCTTGCTTATGTATTAGTTGTTCTGGGTGAAATAAAGGAGATTATTAGTGAAGGTTTTCTATTGTTGTAAGTAATCACATTGTTGTAATGAATAATATTGTTGTAAGTAATCACAGTGTTGTAATGAATAATATTGTTGTAAGTAATCACAGTGTTGTAATGAATAATATTGTCGTAAGTAATCACATTGTTGTAATGAATAATATTGTTGTAAGTAATTTATTATTCATCACAACAAGGTGATTACTTACAACAATATTATTCATTACAACACTGTGATTACTTACAACAATATTATTCATTACAACACTGTGATTACTTACAACAATATTATTCATCACAACAAGGTGATTACTTACAACAATATTATTCATTACAACACTGTTTGTTGTAAGAAATTATATTGTAAGGAATCATATTGTTGATGTAGAAAATTTTATCACATTATTAAGTTAATTTCTTTGTCAAAAACGTGTATTTCAGTGCAGAAGAAGAAACATAATGTGTTAATTGTGAGTAACGGACTATAATTCCAAACAAAACAAATTATTAAATCAAACTGTTTCATTCAAATATTTCTGAAGGTATTTTGTAGTATCAGGTTGATTATGCTAATTTGGTTGAGATATTTGACTTTTTAAATAATAATAAAAAACAGGTGTTTTTTTTTATTCTACCAGGTTATAGTGACTGTGCGAACAGCTTTCCAAGAAATCACCAAACTGTTGCCTTTTCATCAAATCTCTCTAGATAGAATAACATCTATTGAAAGTTTGAACCAAGACTTAATTGACTACATAACTTTTCGGATCAGCTCAAACTCCTCAATTCGTTCCAATATTGCTTTGGCAAACTCCAAATCTGAAGGATCTTCATACATGAGGTAAGTTTGAATGTAATGATTTAAAGTTTTAATTGTTAGAAAGTGTTTTTAGCTTTTAGATGTTTAAAACTAATGCTAACATGTGAACCAACTTAAAAACTACAAGCTATACTATTTCAAGATGATAAACTGAAGCTTTACTAAAATAGGGTTGGAAGCTGATCCATTAAAGATTCAACTGAAGCTTTGTGTATGTTCTACCAACTCATACAAATGTAGTTTAAAGTTTTTTATACAAGCATAGCAGAGTGTTTAGCATGCCAAACTGTGGATTCAAAGGTCTGTGGTTCATATCCCATTGCCACAGAATCACTCTCTGCACTTTGAAGTCATGAATGCAATATAGGAGAGATCTTCTGATCTTAATATTCATAGTTCGAGAGTAGGCAATGCATGCTCTTGATTTGTTGCTTTTCCTTTGACTTATCAGTTCAGAACTATGGATGGCCAACACAGATATTCACATATCTGAAACTCATTAATAATTAATACACTAATTATAAGTATTAATAATTGATAAATATATTAATTCAAAAAGCTGAGTTTTTTCATTAAAAAATATTAAATATTGTCAGAGTTGTAACTGAATAGTTTTTCGTAATTAAAACTATTTTGTCCAAAAATTAAAGTTAGTTCATGCATTCATTTATGAACCAAAAATCAATATAATCTAAAAATAAGGCTACATCTAAGTAATTAATTTGAAACTAATATATTTCACTACACAGAATCTAACCATTTTTTTTTTTCGTATTTCAGGTTTGCCAACCATCTTGCCTCACTCAGCAAAGGCTGCATGCTGTATCTCAAACTGACTTTAGATCTCATTGAAAAGGGCCACCTGGTGATGAAAAGTAGCAGCTATAAAGTCCTTCCTGTCAGCCTTAGTGAGGTTTACTTACTTAGTTTTAATCTGAAGTTCACAACCATTCGATCTTTGGAGAGGGTGAGTTTAATTTGATAGTTTTTCTAATGAGCTAGTAGCAGTTTTGTGATAAAACGTGTGGGAACAGAAAAGGTTTGGCTCTGAACATTGAAACTTGTAGGGAAAATCCTAATTAATTATTTGAAATAGAATAGTGCTTTGAGCCATCAGGAATTAAATTTCCAGATTATCAAGAAGGGGAATCTAAATTTCAGAATATATTTCTCAGCAGCTTTGGTCCAATAATAAGAAGTTTTCTGTGATATTGAAAAATAGTATATTACATGTTACTTCTTCTGTTTCTTTGATGAGTTAATTAATTGTAAAGTACTATGTTACAAGTTACTTCTGTTTCCTTAATGAGTTAATCAATTGTGAAGTACTATGTTACAAGTTACTTCTGTTTCTTTGATGAGTTAATTAATTGTAAAGTACTATGTTACAAGTTACTTCTGTTTCTTTAATGAATTAATTAATTGTAAAGTACTATATTACAAGTTACTTCTGTTTCTTTAATGAATTAATTAATTGTAAAGTACTATATTACAAGTTACTTCTGTTTCTTTAATGAGTTAATTAATTACAAGTCTTGAATTTACTCCATCAACAACATTATTAAATTAAAATAAATATGATTTATTTCACATAAAGTATTGATTCACGTAAACCTACATAGATACAACTGTAGGGCTAACAACATGAAGAATGTTCTGTAGGAACTCAGTTGAATAAACCTTTTTCATAAGTGTTAATTATTTTACTCTAAAATGTTCAAAAGTTGTTTTCGTGTCAGACTTTTCACATTCGCTTGTAGAGACGAGCTTATGATATTTCACCATTAAAAGGTCAGCAGTCTACTCCAGAGCTGTCTAGCCTCCATCTGTCCTCCAACCCCATTGGAGCTCTACCACACAGTGAATGCAGGAGTTGTGTGTCAGCCCCTCACCTGGGGAGAGTTTCTCCAGAGACTCAGTTTACTCACCTCCAGCAACTTCCTAGTGGTGAGACAGGACAAAACTCTAATGTTTGCTCACCCATCTCTCAGGGAGTGGCTAATTCGAAGAGAGGAAAACACAGGAACAAAATTCATCTGTGATGTGAGGTAACTTGTTTTAGAAAGATTCTCTTCTGACATAAAATCTTATATTTATGTAGAAAAAAAACTGAAATGAACAAGGTGTTGAATTATTTTCATGAATAAGATAACAGAGAAGAGTGTGACTAGAATCTATTATTGAATTGACAGCCTTTATTCTATATGCTCCAATTTAACTTTATTATTGCTGGTCAGTTTTTTTTTCAGGCTTTTGAAAGATTTCCTGATTCTTATCACACACTTCTTTTTGAGTTTTTATGATCATAAAGCTTCTGGAGGTAAGTTTAATAATATATTAACACAATAATGGGCTCATCTTATTCATTGAAATCAAAAATCATATAATAAAGAATAGCAAAGAAAAAGTTAGTAGTTCTTTCACTAACTTAGGATTTTGTCTAAATACAGATGCCCTGTTTTATATCTTGTTTATACAATCAGTTTCTAATGGTTTTGTGACTAGACAGGGACATGCCCTACTAAGTTTTCGATTGAGTCGATTGGAAGCTCCCCTTGATCCCCGTCAGTGTTTGGAGCTTGGCCACCACATCTTAAAAGCTCACATATATAAGGCTGTAGGAAGAGATCTTTCTTTGGAGGTTCTTTCTCGTGACCTTCAGGCTCACTGGGTTCAACAGTGCACTATCGATGTTTCAAGGGCTCTGGGTTTTGTACGAAATCTGTATAGTCCTAACGTCAAGGTGAGAGCTGGGAAATCTGTCCCAGTTTCACTTATATTATTGTACTACAAAACCAATGAACAAATTATTTAATTTAAATAGAAAAGTAGTGTGTGTATGTGTGTATGTGTTATTAACACCCTATGTAGTTTATCAGCTAAGAAAGAAACCAGAGGTCTGTCTAAAAACTTACTGAGGCCATTTATAACTTAAACCTTTACATGAATTAATTTTGAAACTGCTTTTTACTGCTTAAACTTTACTGGTGTAATACGTTTATTTAATAGTGGGATATTTACATCTACTGGTGTGATATCTACATTTAATAGTGTGATATTCTACATCTACTGGTGTGATAACTACATTCAATAGTGTGATATCTACATTCAATAGTGTGATATCTATATTCAATAGTGTGATATTTACATCTACTGGTGTCATATCTACATTTAATAGTGTGATATTTACATCTACTGGTGTGATATCTACATTTAATAGTGTGATATTTACATCTACTGGTGTGATATCTACATTTAATAGTGTGATATTTACATCTACTGGTGTGATATCTA